GATAAACAGTTCTTAATGACAAATAACTGACTGGCGACCAACTGCTCCAATGTCGAACACCTCGATGGGTGACGAACATTTAAATACAACACGAGCTTATGAAAAGATGTGAGACCTATGACAGGTAGTGTTCAACAGGGAAACGAGAACCTTGAAGACGGTGAATAAGAAATCCAGGCAAGGAACTCACTTTATTTGGACACAAATTAAACGGTACACATTGGGGAACCGGTATTTCCATATAATCCGGTACAAATACAGCTAGCTTTACGTCTATCTAATGATTGAAAAACACAGTGACCACACGTACGTTCAGCCACAAACTACATCTAGGATACATATTTGTTATGACTGTAATACAGTTCTACATAAACTTAGAACAGTTCAATGGTTTTCAACCCCTGACTCAACAGATCATAACATAAATCATCTACCCACAACTATACACAAATAACCTAACAAAATACACTCATTCACACTATAAAATATAACAGTATCATAATTATGGAGTAACGTGAAAATACACCAGTACCTCACCAACTTACAATATCATTACAAACCAGAGTAAAGGTAAGTGAATTCAGACACCGTCCACTCAAAACACGTAATAGTGAACAGAAAAATGAGGATTTCAAGTGAAACACTACAATGTTGTACTTCAAACTATACACAATATACAGAACAAATATAATGACACATTGTAAAGTTTGTAATACACACATATTCAGAAAACAAAAGACAAAATGCATATACTTTAAATGCATTGAACTACCACTGTCACTGAACTGACACCAACCTTTATAGCTCTATACAAATATTTGGGATCTTGAGTTGTTTGATAAATCTCTAATAGAGCGAAACCACTACCAGCTGAACCGTGACATAGACCACAGCCTTTGTGAAGTAGACCACGAGTCCATACAGCTTCTCCTCCATCTAATGCACACTTCAAATATTTATTTTCACCTGTAATCTATAGAATGTAACAACACAGAGGTTAAATAACAGTAAACAAACTACCGATACATATCTATCCAAATAAAAGGAGAATATTTTAAGTGCAGTTTGATTAGTTTCTAACTCCTATTTCGCCACTTCATAGACTCACTGATGGTTGATAGTAATAATCCTATTACAGATTGGACACGAAATGTTTGTTCTCATAGCCTTGCTCAGAAAACTCTCGTCTAACAACGTTTCCACAAAACGTTTTGTCACGAGACAGTACATATAGGTTTTTATGCATAATGATTTATTTCGTGTATTAAGAGTACTTTCGAAAAATCCAGCATTTTATGTAAGACGCAATACTACCCATTTATACGGTTCAAGATTGCCCCCAAATGTCCTGGTACGGCCGAGAGTAGGGAGAGTCCGCTCACCCTCTCGAAATGCTCTCACATGGCCACGCGTATATAGCCTCTGCCACACAAGTCCTACTCATTGCATTCTCACACCAGGGGTGTTGTTTACGAAATTCAGAGGACAAAAAGCGAATGTCCGGCGCTTTAACGGGGTTGGTAGACATGGAGAGTCAGTTTAAGGGAGTTGGGAAATGCCGATTCCAAACCAATGGTGCACATGGGCCCCAGTATCCTGAGGGGGAAAATGGCGTATGAACCAGTCGTTGGTCACCGGCTACCATGGGAATGCATCTCCTGACATTGATCCACCGCCTTGTGGATCAGACCTTTACATCGAAGGCTCTGGGTGTGGCCCCCTAAGAAAACCACCTGTTTCACTCTGGGCACCCGGGCAGTATCACAGCTCTCACAAATATCAAATGAAATTTGTGTGGCGCATATGTATTTGGTAATAATAAATAAATATTCAAGATAAATGGCCTTCTTAGATAATCACTTAATCATGAGGCGAATAGGAAACGTCAGCACATGCATTCCGATAGCAAATGATGATTAGATTCAGTTTATATACTAGTTATCTTGTTGAAATCATTGAGTTCATGTACACTACATATTGCGAATCCGATTTTCATACTTTTTTGAAAATGATAGTTATATATTTAAAGATTTAAAATTCCTTTATTCATCTTTAAATAAAGTCGTTTGTTTTCATGTATTATTTTTACAGGATGATAATAATACTGATAATAACCTTCTGTTAAGCATGTTGACAGTGAGGTTCAATAAACAAGGTTATTGAAAGAAAATTCTTTTAAAAACAAGGAACGTTTAATAATCGTTTGATTTTGAATGGCATAAGTATTCATCAAAAGATAGATAGGGAAATGTTCAGCTCAACATGATAAGATAAATGTTGAAATTGAGATGAAATGCAATGAGGATGATCATGGAAACAAAATGAACCAGTTGGGAGTAGAAAATTTAAGGGGAAGATGGAGGATGAAGCAGATGGCTGTAAAGGAAGAAGAGTGTGAAGAAAGAGAGAAATTAAAGATAAAAATAAAAATTAATAAGACATCAGGACCATGGTAGAAGAAGTTGTACCAGTCGTTTTTGCACACACAATTCTGGTTTTTGCAAATGTATGGCCAATGATTCGGCAATGTAAAGAAGATGCAGTCTAATTGTCTTTGGAAGACTTCTACATACCTTGTAGATGACTTTGAACACAGAGTCTGTCTTGATTAAGTGACCTGTGTTCACAAGTTTTTCAATTACTGAGCTTCTTATTAGGCCGCTTCCTCCTCTTTTTAGCCATGCCGGACAATGTTCTTGAATTCTTTTGGATAAGGTACGCATCGAACGACCTATATACCAAGCTCCACATGAGCAGGTGAACACTCGCAACAAGAATACGACGAATCTGAGTCACGACGTCATAGAGGATGAATTTGGCCACCTGAAGGAGATACTTATTAAAAACGGATGTCCTTCGATTTTCATTGATAAGAACATAAAGCCGAAAACACAGATAACTATAGTAGAGAAGAAAATTTTATACATCAACATCGAATTCAAGGGTGACAGAGAACACACACAATAATGAGGAGAATTTCCGATTCTTTAAAAATAGCATTCCCCGCAGCAACATTGCGAATAGTATTCTCCAGCCGATCATTGTTCACCAATAATCTTAAAGATAAATTATCGAATCTGGCCAACTCAATGTGCACTTTTTTTATTGAGATCATGAACCGATTGGTGCTAGACCACCATTGAAAACCTGTAAGCACTGGACGATTGTTTTGTCCTATTGTGGGACTCCTCAGCAGTACGCATCCATAATCCCGCTCGCGGGATCAGTGGAGCTAATCCTTGTCGGGTAGAAACAGGTGTCTGCCTCGGTACAATGGAAGATGGTCGCGCAACTTCGTGAATTGGTTGAGGTTAGGCATTAACACCATTGAATGCAGGCTCAGTGGTTCAATAAATTAAGCGTTCGCGAGCGAGACTGAAGGCCCTGGGTTCGAATCCCTCGAGCGGGATCATGGATGCGCACTGCTGAGTGGTCCCACAATAGGACGAAACAACCGTCCAGTGCTTCCAGGTTTTCAATGGTCGTCATGGTCACCCGGAGTAAGCCGACGGGCTTCAATGAAATGTAAGGAGCTTGAAGAAACCCAGCGCTTATAAGTGGGACGTTTCGCGAACCCACAACTGATTTTACTCACCATTTTCATGGCGTCGTGCAATTACAACCAATGCTCATCTATACTTTTCGGTGGAATGGTAGCTAGCCTAGAAGCTAGCTCTGTTCGATACTTACTAGCAACAGAAGTTGCAACCAGCCTGCTAGCATCAATCCTTTGGTGGCGGTCACTTCGTTGTCCACTGAAAAGGTAAGATTGGCGCGGACCAGGACATGATCAGAGTCCAGATAGGTACTCCAAGAGGAGCGGCAGTCTTGTACACAACCACGTCAGCGGCAGCTGGTCGCGATGTGATCAATCTGAGTCCAGGCTTGAGATGCAGATGGAGGACGCCAGGTGGAACGTCGGCGATGACTGTGTCGAAAGTTAGTGCTAACCAGAAACAGGTTGTGGTCTGTGCACAGTTGCAGTAGACAGTCCCCGTTATCTGTCTTTCGACCAACAAGTTCCCATCGGCCACCTAAACGATTATCTTCTGTGCCTAGACTCCCGACCTGAGCATTCCAGTCTCCGGTTAGTACTACAATATCTGTCGAATGCACCTTCTGGAGAAGAACAGTCAACTAGTGGTAGAATTCATCCTTGATTGCATCCGGGCTGCCATCTGTCGGGGCATAGGCGGAGATGACGAAAAGACATCGTTTCTCACGCCGATTTCGTCTCACTTCGATGGAACTTTCTAATCTAACAGCACATAACCGACTGTTAATGAGGATCCAATCGATTAGTGTTGCCTCAGCTCTAGCGCTTAGTGCGACACCAACGCCATCAAGACTAGACGAAGATGCCACAGGGTCCCCGGATAAACGTACGTAAAACAAGCTTTTTGAAGTGACAGATGGAGAGCAAATTTGTAGTACTTCACTAGAGTCTTTAATACGGGTCTCGGATAGACAAGAGACGTCGATATTAAGACTTTCCAAACACATAGCCAGCCCTATCTGTTGTCCGACCTGCATAAGTGTGCGAACGTTGAAGGCAGCCAGTTTGAATGATGCACGTGGTTTCAGAAAAACTGCTTCAGTATTCGTATTTGGCGGTAGCATACTATTTCCAACCAGGCAGTGACTCGAGATCGTTTAGATATAACCGAGTTTTCACCATAGGCGAGCTGCTGTATAAGTCGAAAAATAAGGACACACAAAGTGGGAATAAAAGAGAGTGAATAAGTGACATGGTAAATAATAATAATAACAATAATAATGTGAATCGTTTGACTGTTAATCGAAGCAAGACAAGTATTTTCCATAAATATAGACATTTCATCATATTTGTGTGTGGGCTGTGATACTGCCCGGGTGCCCAAACCGAAGCAGTTGGTTTTCTTAAGGGGCCGCACCCCGAGCCTCTGACCTAAAGGTTTGAAGCCGCAAGGCAGTGGAGCATTGTGAAAAGATGCAGTCCTATGGTAGCCGGTGACCAACGATTGGTTCATACACCGTTTGTTCCCGCACGATACTGGAACCCATGTGCACCATTATAGGTTACAGTAACTGAATTATGTGAATGAAATGGTTGCCTAAATTTCCTATCTCGAGTGTCAAGCGCTATAAATATGGAGGTACAGATTTTATGCAAACTAATGTATATCTTCTTTTGTATAGAGTACTTTGGGTAAATATTAAGTGAAGTTTGATTCTCAGAACTGTCATTGGTACTAGATAGACAGTATAGGCGGATTAATCAATGCTCGGACTAGACTAATACAAATACACACAAGCTTCAACATAACTTGAGCATCTGCTTTTTTCATTATATCATAAGTCTCCTGTGGAAACCCATTAATCTGTTAAGTCAAACAAAATTTGATTCAAACAAACCTATCCATACAGGCGGCCACGCAACAGGTACTACTAAGAGATGGTTTATGATATATCCCACTTACTTAATTTCATGATACCGATCTAAATTTTACCTAGAATACTTGAATAAGCTCCAAACAGGATGAGTCAATGAGCAAAATCCTCAATGGAATTAAAAGACCCGGACTTATAGGAATTAAGGAAGTTATATTTGCAATAGTTTTACACGTTTTAAAGTTAGCTAGGGTATAAAGATAAATAAACTTCCTTAGTGCAATTGGGGTACCAGATTTACTTTATATAAAAGGCACAGGACACATACTGCAAGCCGACTGAAATAATTAGTTTTTTTTTAGACATCCAATCATTCACTTGAACTAAGGATCTAATTCGTGAAGTAGTAGGATAACGTCGGTGAATATATTCCCATAGGTATTTGGCTGTGTATAGGTCTATATTAAAGTATCATACGCAGAAGTATAACAGTTTTAAATGCATTTTAATCATGTATAGCATTTATTGTGAATCTGATTTTCAGTGAAGCCGTCGATGTGTACAACTGAGGGGTTCCATACTGGGACGAGACAGCTAACTAATGCTTCTTGGTTTTAAATAGCTGTCCTGTGAAGTGAACTACAAAATGATTGAATCATTTACTAAAATAATATTGCTAACCTACCTTATGAGCTGAGAGCATAAGTGGAATGACACCCGTTGCACCATGACACCAATGAACTAATACATCACGATTTAAGCTATCCCCTAAACTAGAAGGCCAATTTCCGCTGATTATCTGAAGTTGACTCATCCAATCAACAGTAGGTAGAATTAACTGGTTTAAGGAATGTGATGATATGCTACCAGGAAACAAACGATATACCTTTAGAGCAAAACATGATGGAAAATGATTAAACACGACTAATTTATTACAATGATCAAAGTATCAATTCATAACGAGATGGGTCATCATTTCCCATATTAACTCGAAAAAAAATTTAAAAAGGGCTCTTTTTACCCTATTCTCTTTGTAAACGTGGTAGGTTTTAACAATGGTCAACTCATTGATCAGATACAGATACATGTATTTGGCCTTGAGTCATACTCTAAATGAAGGCTAGTAACGTTAGCTGGTTCCCTAAACTGAAATCTACAAAATCACTAAACAGTTGAATATAAACACAATAGACGACACAGTAGAAATGTAGATCAAAAAACACTGAAATTTATACCCTTATGACTATTTGTATACAAATAGTGAATAACAACCAACTAGACTAAACAATTAGATGACTGAAGTCTTTTACTATTTGAAAGATATTTCAGAACAAGTTCTACTGTTGCTTCAGTTAATAAGTTATACAACCAACTGACAATATATTACGTTTCTAATTGTTTTACTCCCCTTTACGCTAAACGACCAGATCACCTGTTAAATAAGTAAATAACACGTGAGTAAAACATATAACTAGTATTGCTTAACGGTGGAAAATTTCCCATTTTCTTAATGAAGAGTATAACGAGCATGATAGATAGAAATACACACTGATGTAAACACTGTGCAAACTAGAAAAAATATACAGCCCTTCAAGTTGACTTAATTTATATCACTACATCATCGAGTGCTCGATTAGTAATCAAGGTGATCAACTTTCAACCAGTAGGTTGTAAGTTCGGATTAGCAGTTCATCAACTATTCTTTCAGCTTAGTAGTATCACTAACACTCAAATAAGTGAGGCTAAAAGATGACTTCATTGACTAGTATGTGGTGAGTTGTACTGACACTATTGGTTTGAGCTATGTAGAAAGGTGTGTAGTTTTTTTCTAACAACCCATATAAATTGTAAACTATGGTTCCAGATGTAAAGTCAAAAAGGGAAAAACCGATGTCAGTGATGCAGTTGCATTTATTCTTTGTATTCCTACAAATATTAAGTCCGTAACTATTGATAAATTTTCGTTCTTCAAACTGTATTTGTATTTGAATTTCAGCTAGCAGTGGAATTCAGCATTCGCATTCTATCCTATTTGGAACTTATCAGCTGAAGTTTGAGATGCAAGTACATCCGACTGATGACTTCTGAATAGGATAAAACGAACCTACCGAACCGAATCCAAACACATTTAAACCTTGTAATGAAAAGACATTATCAACGATTCAGAATAGTATGGATGTATTTCAACAGATAATGATCGACTTCAATCTTGAAAATTAAACGACAGATGAACACACATTCATAAAAATGCATTTCGCATGTTCAACGTCTCATCGCAATTATTGTTTGATCCTCCATTTTGCTATAAGCTAACGTCTTAAGCTTGCCTGTCGTTTTCTCTCATTCAGACTCAAGATTGATGATAGAAAAGGTATGTATCAGCAGATTAGTAGGAGTTAAGACTGCTTCGACTTCAACTTCGACTTCAGCGAAGTTTCGCTAAATATCAATTAAAGTTTCACTCGTGATAAATCAAACCATCGGTAGTGAAAGTACTACAGAAAAAAAATGAATAAAGGTGGACGAATGAACTCGAAGTAATGAGAGCCCCAGAATGACTCAATATTCAAGAATTATAGAAGTTTAAGAATCAATCCACCTGATTTATGAAAGAGATGATTATTCTTAGAATAAAAAATTCATCTTGATACTCGGTAAACCACACATATATGATTTACAATAAGATAGAGAAGTGTAAGCATCACTGGAACGATTTATAGTTGGGAATACGGGAACAATTTGCTTTTTGTAGGAACAGAAGCAAAATAGATAGAGCAATTGGTATCGAAATTCGAAAGTTGATAAAATGAAATATTAACGGGAATCAGTTGCAAACACGTTACTAAACATAGTAGCTTGGGATTAAGATGATATTAACGGAGTGGTTAAATTTTTAATACATCAATCCCAAAAAAATAAGTTACCCAAACGTCATTATTTCCACAAAATCAGATTCTGTGGGTTACTAGAAGCCAATTCACTTTTGGGGCTTATTTTACGTTCATTAACAATCTTCCCATAAGCAGCTGAGTTATTCAATGATTTGTGTTACAAACCAACCAAAAAAATATCATCATGTTTAAATAACTTACCTTCAGTAGAGTAGTCAAGATACCAGCAAAACCATGTGCTCCACCAAGATAACATTTATCATGCCATTCGAACATCAACGGTGGCATGCACAAATCTCTTTTCGATGACTGATACATCAATCGATTATAAAAACCATTCGATTTGTAAGCACCAGCTGTTTTCTGACCAGACTTCAATATAGCATCTGTTATCTAAAGTAAAACTGTTATCATTAATGTTACTACTTTCATATCACGGAAGACACATAAATCCATAAATCAGATAGTGAAATGCCGCAACTTTATGCACAAACAATCACAAGAAATAATTCTTGAAGAGATGAGTAAAACAGTCAGTCAGCTACAACGTAGAACCAGGCACATATATGCATCAGTCCAAGTTGCCATACCTCATTAACACAACAAGATGAACACCGGATTCATAAAAGTAGTTAATTCAGAGGTGGTAATATATAAAAGAAAGATTGTATATAAGGATATAGTACAGGAAGAAATAATTAGTTCGTAGAAAGAAAGATATGAAGCAATTTTTATCTCTTAGTTTAAGGGAAGATAGAGAGTGTATACGCCGACGCCATTGTGATCGATTCTGAGCCATGTCACCTACAGTCTCCAACCATTGGTTACGATAGTCACGCGGACCCCAACCAAGCAGTCTGCATTTACCAACATGGCTCAGACTAGAAGTTAGTGACTTCAAGCACTGATGCCACGTTTTGGTTTGGCCGCCCTTAACTTTCTTCCAACCATCCCGAACACCGGTTAGCATTGCACGTCGTGGTAACCGGTGTTCGGCCATACGTAACACGTGACCCAACCATCTCAGTCGATGAAGATTCACAACCTCATCGACTGATTTACCATCATTCCCTAATACTCTGAGTCTAACCTCACTATTACTTACCCGGTGATCCCAGCAGACGCCAGCAATATTTCTGAGGCAGCTGTGGTCAAATACTAGTAGCTTACGAGTGTCTTCTACTTCTAATGACCATGTTTCGCTGCCGTAAACTAAAACAGAACGGACTGCTGCGCACTATACTCGTCCTTTTATTGATAGATGGATATCTCGCCTTCGCCATAGGTAACGTAAATTGGCAAAAGCCAAGCGAGCTTTTCGAATCCGTACTGAAATTTCGTCAGACACCAACCCATTAGGGCTGATCAGACTTCTAAGATAAGTGAGGTTGTCGACGTGTTTGCAGTTCATGAGTCTTAGGCGTCTGATAATTATCGAGGTTAGTATTTTAGATACTATATTAGTTAAACTAATCCCAGTCAGATGGGATAACGTCTAACTCCCAGATCTTAGCTAAAGTATTAGTCAACCTAATCGATAAAATTGGACCACCATCCTTAAAGACCTCTGGAGCCAATCCATCTCGACCAACTGCTATTCCTCGTTTCAGATTAACTATAACCTTTTGAACTTCAGCTAGAGTTGGGGGACCTACTTCAATGTTCCATTCACACTGTCTGGGAATAGAGGGTAGTTGTAGAGTAGTTGAAGGCCAGTTGAACTGTTCTCTGAAATGTTCCGCCCATCGTTCTAAACATCTGGACTGAGAGCAGATGAGGGTGTCGTCTTTTTCTGAAATAATCCGACTTACACTTGACTTATTAATTCCAGTTTCTTTTATTAGTATGTAGAGCTGTCTTGTGTTCCCTATAGCCGCCGCCGTTTCCATCTCTTTTGCTTTCGCTGCTCACGGTCGTTCCACAGACTTTTGTTTATTCTATATCTGTCTTGTTTTTGCTCTTCATCGTGTTCAGAGCCTGATGGGATGAGTTTACGAGAATCCATCAGTGCAATAGACATTGAGGAAATCGATTGGTTCTTTGTAACTCTGTGGTTTAAATCACTGATAGATGTCACTGCTGTTTCCACAGCTGCTTCTATATCTTTCCAAGCAACATCTGGGTCAGCCTCGTTTTCAGAACTACCTAAGTGTGACCTCAGTTGTTCTTGGAACCTACTTTTGGTTTTCTCGCTACTCAATTCAGTTCTAATGGGTCTATTTAGTGTGGCTTTTTTGCGTCTACTGAGTCTCAAGCAGATGTGTGACCGTGTTAGGGCATAGTTGGAGTCCAAGCAGGTACTCCAGAATGAGCAACAATCTTCTACCGACCCTCTCCAACGATGACTGATGACAATATGGTCTATTTGAGTCCATCGTTGGTTTGGTGTAGGGGGTCGCCATGTTAGACGATGTCTCTCCTTATGCTTAAAATTTGTGTTTACTAAAAATAAGCGATTGTCTGAGCACAGTTGCAGCAGACGGTCACCATTATCTGTTCGTCGAGCCGGAATACTGAAGTACCCACCCAAATGCCTTTCTGTTTGGTTTAAGCTACCTATCTGGGCATTAAAGTCACCTGCCACGAGTACTATGTCTGAACGTTTAGCTTTTTGAAGAAGTTCAGATAGCTTTCTGTAAAATTCATCTTCCACATTATCTGAGCTGCAGTCGGTGGGAGAGTAGGCAGAAACGATAAAAAGGCAACGACGTGTGTCCCTATCCTTCCGAGTTCTTACAGAGCCGTTTAGCCGAATAACACATAAACGACTGTTAACGGGGATCCACTCTAGCAGTGCTTGTTCTGCTCTCGTACTTAGTGCTATGCTTACACTTGCCAGTCCACGAGAGCTGGCCGTCGGGTCACCAGATACACGGAGGGTGTATCTCGTTGGCTCTTCGTTTTGTCGAAGTGAGATCAAGTGAATGACCACACTGGGATCCTGTATGCGTGTTTCAGAGACACAGCATACATCAATGGTTCGAGATTCTAGGGTTCTAGCCAAGGTAGCCTGTTGACCAATTTGACATAGTGTGCGTACGTTGAAGGCTCCAATGTGTAGTTTGGAGCGAGGTTTCAGTAGACCTGGGACAGTGTTTTGAGCACTAGAATCGTTGGCTATGGTGACATTTGAGGAGGAAGCCGAAAAAAGAAGTTTAGAGGTGAAAGTCGATGTAGGAAGAATGATAGGAAGTGAAGACGGAGGTTGATTATGAATACAGTGGTCTTGAGTGTTGTTACAGGTATGAGGGGGGTTATCACTTCCCGGTTGCCCACACCGTGGAAGGGTAAAACGTTACAGTATGAGTCACTTGAATATTTTCATGGAACGTAAAACGGATGATTGTACTTCAACGATTAGTATTGGTCATGAGAATCGGATTTATACCATGTATTGCAATAACTCACCTGTGGTGTTGTGGTCACAAACAAATTATTGTAAGGCTTATTCAACTGAACCAGTTTCATAAACCGACAAATTATCTAGAACAACACTGGAGCAATAAACCTTTCCATTCACTTCTCTAGTAATTCACCTCTGCACAATCAAGCACAAACAATTCATTAATAAACACTTCAAAAGCAGTAACAAATACACAAACACATACCGAAGAGACAACAGAAACAGGGATGTCGAAATTATTTTCTCGAAGTGTTATCAAACAATTTAGATAGCCAGTACGTCCATATAACGCTTCATCAGGCATCCCACAGTCCACATCCAAGCCATATTTACTCGCTGACAAAATGTCTTCTACGAACTTCTTTGCCTCTGTATTCTCACTTCCATGCTTGACTGATGATAAAGCACCTAAACACAATGGACCGATCGGGCTAGTGTAAACACTGATATTTTTAGATAACTTCTTCAAGTCGATATGACGTAGACATCGATTTAACAACTTCTCAGTACATACAACACCATTTTCACGTATCTTTCTGTCTAATAATTCACATTTGCATTGTGATAGGAAATTGTAGAATAGTCCAACACCTACAAACAAATAGAAAGAAACACAAGTTGATCGAGTGGTTCGCATACTATTCACAAATTCTAAAGTACACGACTACATTTCTTACACCTCAATGTATAGACAACGTCTGTTTGTGGGTTTAAATGGTCCCGAATAAATTGCTAACGATATCAAAACAATGGGATACGACCAATCTGGAACACAATACTAACAACATTCAATGAAAGGTTTTACAAATGAACATCGTTAGTTCAGCTACACTAACAACGATCAGTGACGGATTTCACTGGTCGACTCTGTGGTTCATACATATTTCTTTCACACTTAGTGTAGCTCATCAGTAGAAGTACAGAATATGAACAGGTGGATTTCTCCGAGAATTTGATTAGGACTTGTTACTTCAAATTGAAGGGCATATCCTGATACATTTATTCAAATGACATGACTAGATATATGGTATATGAATCAACACTTGATCGAATTAGCCAGTCAGTCACTTGACTTTCAATGATCAATCAGTTGGAATAGATGTGGTGGAAGCACGTATATACTGATATGACATGGTGGGCTACACCTAATGTCTTACAAAAATACAATACCTGTATGCGTAAACAAAGGAAAACATAGAATTCATTATACACACATAAAAGTCTTCACATTTCTGGTTAGTCATTTAATTCAATCTGAAACCATGGCTTAGTTCAAATACATTAAGACACTGCAATGGGACATGTTACTAAGTTCAGACTGTCTGGTTCAGTTCGCGTGATTGTCTTGTCCGACTGTTAGAGACTTTGGGTGACGTGGCTCAAAATCGTTCGCAATGTCACTGGTGCATCCCTTTAGATATGAAATCTCTAAACTGTTTTACATATTTTCATTCTACAAATTCATATATTCTCGAATTGTACTTTCCACACATAATCTCTCCCATTACCACTAATACTGTTACTATATCTACCTCTCTGAGACACGCCCTGACAGTCTCGTTTCGCTGTTCTGATGGTATGTTTCAGCTTGAACCGATTCATAAATATGTCAGGTTCGACGTTGCATATGACTGATTCACTGATTGAGGATGACTAAAACACACAACACTCACCTGACAAGCCCGTGTACATTGATACGTCAGACGACGATAACTTCTCGAAATTCGAATTCAGAACATTTAACAGTTCGACAATTTTGTTTGGGATGTTTGTATCTCCCACCTGGAACGTGGTGCACAAGTAAATACTGAAAGTACTTTAAGCTGGTCTCCAGGCATATAATCGTGGTAAGGATTTTTAAAATGGCGACCATCGTTAACCTCAACCATCTTCTATACGCGTTTGGATTTTACTCACGAATGGATCTTTGAAAGGATAGAGTTAAGTTGAATTTGTCGAGATTAGATTAGAATCTTCTGTGGTCGACACCAAAATCCCAAGACAAAATTGATAGATTAGTCAATGGGACAGTAAAAGCATAAAAATGCATAGTAATACAAAGCGAGGTGATTTGAAGAAGTGGTCGGTAAACAATGAAATCTTTATCACAAGTGTAATAAGTCAAACTAAAGAAATTATGTTGTGGGAAACTAAAACGTGTTTCACAGAGGAACAAATGAAAAGAATGACATAATACAAATCCATGACATACGAAATAAAACAGAGATTTTGGATGAATCCATTTGCCGCACATTACTTAACATCCAATGCTAGAGATCCCAATTTCCCTAGGAACTACAATGAAGGCCTGCACTACAAATGGATATTTAGTAACTTTATGGACTGATATTTTGGTCTGTTCACTTGCTCCAATCTAATCAACTCCTGCCAAATAGAGAACGCTGTTGCTAAAAGTGGGTTGATATCCCAAGCAACCAACAAAGGAGAAATAAAGGTGAACAAAGAGGAAATGAAGGGGTAAATGCTTTGCAAGAGAAAGGGGAAAACGCGCCAGAATGTCGCCTTTTTCGACTGTTTTCAATCCTAGATGGTAGTAAACAATTTCTGAAATGAAAGAAATGATTGACGTGGGTATATTTAGTGTCAAGTTTAATAAATGCATAGCTATTAGGTTGGCGGCTGTTATATGTGCCGCACTTGCTCGTTCTTCTGTTAGATACACAGTAAATCATAACGCTAAGGCAGGTTGCGATAAGTGTGCTGTACTTGGGAGACGACTGGAGAGGAAGACGACCTTTCCAATGGGGTGTATACTTTAAGAACAGACGACACCTTCCGTCGTCAGACTCAATCAATCCACCATAAAGGACATTCTATTATGGAAACGCTTTCGATTAATATGATTTTAACTTTTACTTTAAATCCTATGCACATGGTGTACCTAGGTGTCACAAAAAAGCTGGCTAATTTATGGATAGATTTAGCACACAGGAGACTGCTGAACTTGAACTCATGTGCAATTAGGGACATTAATAATTTAATATCAGGTTGCGTGGAAAATACTCCTTACGACTTTCCGCGTAAATGCCGTACACTAGACTTCGTATCGACATGGAAAGCTTCTGAATGTAGGTTGTTCCTTCTGTATTTAAGCCCGGTGATTCTTCAAAAAGCATTGCCGCAACCTTTGTATCTTAATTTCCGGCGTTTAGCGTTATCCATTTATCTGCTTGCACATCCGAAACTACATAATACTGGTGTAGAAACCGCCAGAATAGATTTACAAAAATTCCTTAAAGAATACAAATGGTGTTATGGGTCTGAAAACTTAGTTTACAATGCGCATTCGTTACAGCACCTCCCTGACGACGTTCGTGCACATGGACCTTTAGATAGTTTTTCAGCCTTTCCAGTCGAATTTTATATGAGACAAAAATCAAGAATTCTGTGCACAGTGGGTTTGCTGTAGCTAAGCAAGCAGCTCAGCGTTATGCTGAAAAAATGTCCTTCTACGACAGGCCTCAACTTAGCTGTTCAACAAATACTACCCCAATAGGCGCTGATGATGTCTCCAACAAACAAGTAATTATGTTTAAGAATAGTAAAATAACTTCATTTAAGCCTGATAATGTAGTAGTAGTAAACGGGCAGCCTGGTTTAGTCACTGATATAAAGGAGGATGGACTACTGAAATTTAGGTTTTTCACTGATCCACGCAATTACTTTGAAGATCCTTTCCCATCTAGTGATATAGGAATCTTTATGTGCTCCATAGTTAGCCATGAACACATATGGGTATCGGTTAAGGACATTGATTGTGAATGTATAGCCATAAATTGTATCAGTTATCTAGTTCTAATCCCATTGTTGCATACTTTAGTGTAAATGTATTTTGTTTCATTAGTGTTGAATTAATGATGATAAACCATTTAATGACGTCTTATGTTATTTTTAGCCTACTAACAAGAAATACGTCGTTCTTCACGTCCCGATCAATAAAGAACTTATGATAGCATCCAAGGAGTGGATGGTCGGGAAAGAACTTTGCCTTCTTCCAAACGAGCTGATAGATACTCACCTGCAAAACTACGATCAACCAGATAACAACTGGTCAGTTTTGAAATGTAAAGTCATTCACGAATTCGGTAAGTAACGAACATAGAAACTATAATTCACTATAGATTCTTTGCAGTCTGCGAAAGATATTTTAATTTCCCTGCAAATACTGGAATCTCATCGTAGAAACACTTCTACGGATGAAAACACATTGCCACAAAACACAGAAAAGCCCAAGAGGTCTGTGCAATAATCTTACTAACATTTCCTAGAGGTGCAATGAAGCGGAAAGAAGCGTTTCTTTACAATTCAGCGGACATGGACGTGTCTGAGATGCAGGCTGGCAATCGCCACGTACAATATCCCAAATTTCGGTTGTTTGACAAATTCTTCTCGTCAATTGCCAAGTAAGCTTTATTATTATTTAGATGTTCACGAATTAGTTCGACGCAATTAGAGACGTCATTGTCAACATCGGAATCTAAGCATGTCGGTGGTGTTATAGCGGACCTGTAAGTCACCTGCATCATCAAGTGAACTTGTTCAGGTTCGATAGGTTGTATACAGTGGTGCAGAACATGTCGTCAGCTATCACTGACTTGAATAAAACGATGCACATTTCCTCGGCCATTACTGACTTGAATATTAACGTGAAGCAATTACTATCTAAGTCTAATGAACGCGGAAAACCGCATCAATTCCATTGCGGAATCTCGAGTCAGCAGCTCCCTTTGTCATCTGAAGAGGAACTGCAGATGCTGGACACTGGTTTGCAGCAGAAAGAAACCAGGGACCGATTTGTAAGCCATCAATATTAATTTAATAATTTGTTACTATTACAGATGGCAATGGTTACGAGGTTACCAAGTGACGATCCGAAAACATCAATGCGGTATGTTCTGTCACACCTCTTAACACCTGAGGTTGTCAGTAAATTCACGTTACTTGGCACCTCTTCGAAACGCGCACTTCAGAAATGCCGGTTTTACGGCTGCATACGAAGTAACTCATATTTAGTATTTAAACTTCAGGTGCGTTAACAAATCGCTTTCTGTCATCCGCTGTCAACGAAAAAGACTTTGCTAAGCTGTACGACATCGCGACACAAGGTTATTTCCACGATGTCAGAGACAAAGTGAAAAAGCGTAATAGAAGAAAACAAGATCAGGTATGTACTAATTTCAAGTGATAACTTCCCTATGGCTCTATAGTTACAGTCTACAGCATTAACGAACATAACCGTAAGTTCAGCTTCAAGCATTTGGCTGTGCCGAGCATGTCATTCAGATGTCGTTGTGAAGTTTTTTTTAACTTCAGAATTCACAGGACGACTACCTCAATTCTCAATAGCCGAACGAACGTGTCTGAAGGGAATAGTCCGTGCAATTTTCTTTATGTTCTACCTGTTTTAATAAGCATTATTTTATAAAACAGCTTACTTTATTACTTACATGGGAAACTATAGAAGTGTTGAGAATGTGTGTTTGATTGTCAGTGAACTAGCGATTAAATGCACATGCCTTATCAATAATACACCACCTGTTTCTTCTTTTGCAGATCTTTTTAAATAACAATGAATTGGCAATTGCAATTGAAATGCAAAACAATCGATGCTCAAGCTTCTGAAATAATGTTGTACAATAATACGCTTTTCCTTTTCAATAGAATTATTTTAAAATATACCGGTTTTTCCGTTGATTGCAGTTTTAGTGTGGTTTGTTGTTGGAAATAAAGGCGAACATAGGAGACCTTTAGGGGTTATGTCAATGGATCGAAAATATGGAATTCTGTATATTTAGGCGAAAAGTAGACAATTCGGGGATATTTAGGCGAAAGGTTGGCAATTTGGCGGATATTTAGGCGAAAAGTTGGCAATTCATCGACGAAGGGGCAAAAGAGGGAAATCAGCAGTATTTCCCTCGGACAGGCGAAAAAGGAGACATTCTGATGCGTTTTCCCCTTTATTTCCCCCTTCTCTTCCAAAGCATTTACCCTTTTATTTCCCATTCGTTCGCCTTTATTTCCACTTTTTTGCCATATGGCTCACACTTTTCCAGATACTTAACTGGTACCAAGCCTACGTAGGCTTCAAGTATGGAGACGACGTCGAGCAATCCCAAAAATGACCGCGAAACCTTAGTCACCTACCCTGCTCAAAATAGGATTACGAGTTAATGTTAGTTATTTAAATTAAGCCTAGTCAGGATAAGAAATTACGCGGTAAAGCTGTACGAACTACCTTGAGATCATACTCAAAATGACCAATCAGGAGACAGAGAAGATAAATGGGTTATTTAATACGCTAATCTGTCAGACTTCCACTTAAAAGACTCTTGGGGGTTTTGTTCACCACCCAGTATCATTCCAGTGGGTTGATTTAGGTTGACTGAGCTCTTTCCATTCCCTTCATGGTGTTCAGTCATCTTCAGTAATAAGGATAGTAGTTTGGTGAACCTGTATTAATCCTGACACATTGCTTTCCAGTGAAGGTCCAGCTTCTCCTTGAAAATATTCACTGATAGGGCTGATACCACTTGTTCGGGTAAGGCGTTCCAACCACTGACTACTCGATGAGATTATTAGTGCTGGATGGAACAAAAAGATAAGACATATTGACACCCAAATCATAATTAAAGATATGAAATGCCAGTATAAGGTTACTTCGTGTCCTACGATACGATAAGGGGAAAAGGTTTAGGCGTTTTAAACGCTCATCGTTAGGGAGTTTAGAAAGACCTTTCATTAATTTTGTTCCTACACGCTGAACACGCTCAAGGGAGTTAGTATCCTTTACCAGACACAGGCTAGCTGCTTGGATACAGTACTCTAAATGTGGTCTTATGTAGGTGGGATATAAAATTCGAAACAATTC